AAAGTGATGTTCCTTTGCTTAACGTCAAAAGAGAAAATTGATTAATTATTTGGGAAGCGTTTGGAGAAAATAAATCGAAAGTCACCACAGAGATGCTTGTTATTATATGCAGTTGATTAGCTGCATTTGGAATTGTTTGCTGCGAAACCAAGTGTTGGACTGCACTGGCCTCTTGCAAAATCATTGTGCAAGTGAGCTCTTTCTTGACATCAAGAGGCTCTTCCTCCTTTGATCCGATTATAGGTTTGAAACCTCATCGTTCCTAGGTGCACTCGATAAGTGTTCTCTTTTAAACGATTACAAGTTTCTACAGTCAAGTTTTAGCTTTTGCAAAAAGAAAGCATTTCCTTCTGAGAAATATGTCCACAGCTGTCAATACCATCTTAAAAATAAAAACAGTTAGCTAGGAAGAAAACCTTTTTTTTTTTTTTTTTTGGTAAGTGATAATGCTTTTTAATCTAGGTATTCAGCTGGAGGTAATACGGATATAGCTGAGAAAATTAAATCTCGTCCTTCCCAGGCGGGACTGTTTGAAGACGCATGCGCAGGGCTGCAATGACACGTTCAGCAGGAGCAACCAGGGCTGGTTCGGCTCCCCACGCAGGCTCGCAAAGTTGCCCCAACTTTGGATAGTATCGATTCTGTGGCTGGAGCTGGAGACGGGACCCAGGCCTGTTTTCTAAGGTCCAGTCCTGACCTTCTTTTGAGTGATAAATCCAATCCCTTGACAAGCATTATATTTTGATTAGAGAGGCAAGGTTAAAGAATTCCATGGAGTCCTCCCTTTCCATGGATGATGGTGCTGAACAGTGCTGGCATGCCCCTGGGCCAACAAGTCACCCAATGAGCATCTAAAGGCAGTTTGAGACATAGGTCTCAGTACTGAATAGTGGAAATTCTGGAATAAATACCTGAATTTTGTGATGCTTCTGCTGCTTATTGACCCATTAAATGTGGTATCCTTTCCTTGGCAGTGATTGGAACACTGAATGGCCCTTCCTATCTTCCATGCCTTTAGAAACACTGCAATAACTAATATTATTGTTGCAGTTCTTCATGTGTTCCTTATTCACTAACATCATTAACAGGCTGTTGAGATAATGTACTGTTTACTCAGCTAGATGATGCTTGATTCCCAACAGGAAATGAGTCATCATCCCACGTCCTCAAGAAGCTCCAGCCTGGTTCTCCTTGCATGGTGGAAAACCACATGTCTGTTCGTGGCAAGCGCAGAGCCTTATGTTTAAAGAACATTTTAATTGCTTCTCCTCTCCCTGGTGTCTATGGGGCAGGTCTCCTTCTCCCATCAACTCACATCTCTGTGCTCTGTGGCCATGTTCATCTATTGCAATGATCTTTGGCCAGTTGCAGAGACTTACTTTGTCACAAATTGTCAAAAATCCACAATCAAATGCTAGGAAGAGCTTTACATACAAATAGGAAAAGCTGCTTTATGCTGCTGTAAAATGAAAAGAGAAAAAAAAATGCATGTAGCAGCTATGGAAAAGCCTACATTTGCCTGAATTGATGCTGTTTCAAGAAAAGTCAATTTTAACCTGTTGTAACACAAGGTCACTTCCTGTTAGCGAAACCCCCTAAAGGGAGAGGGAGAAAAATGTAAAAAGATATTTGCAGTAAAACCTTATACACATTTTACTCAGAGATCAAGGTTTCTTTCTTTTATTTTTTTTAAGAAAAAGCTTTTGAAAATCTATGCTCAGTTTTACATTATTAACTCCTCCAATGTCATAGGGTTTTAAGCAAGTGATTGTTTAAGAACTGATCTGTCATCTTTTCTTGTTGCATAGAGGCAAAAATGACTTTTGTCCAAATGCAGTTACAGTTTTCTTCCATAACTTTTCCTCCTGTAAGCACTTGAACTTTTACAACTGGGGTATATCATATTTTCTAAATTTTATTAATGGAGTCATTCTGCTTTTCCTTTCTTTGAGTTCTCCTCTCCTGTATCTCCCAAAGCATTACACTTACATGTCTCTGTTCATTAGTCTTAAAGTCTTTCTTCATCTGGGATAATAGAAAAACCATATATTGCTAGTCATCCAGTTGCAATTCTAGCTATTCTCAGAGGGGGATATATATATTTCCAGTTTGGTGCGTGGGGATTTAGATATACGATTCCAGATAGCATTAATGAGAGTAACAGTCCTAATTCCCCACACACACTATATTGAAAATGGATCCAGAAGGTTCAGATATCCAGAGGGAAACTCTGTGATCTTACCTTTACATATCTGTGCCTTTTTTTTTTTTTTTTTTTAATATATATTTGCATTTGTTAATTAAGGTAACTGGCAGCTGCTGGGAGGAGGAGGGAGGCAGACTGTGTCTTGCTTTGTTTTCTGAGGGATTGGCTGGACCTGAGTGAACTTTGTGAATTAGAAGGTTAATTCAAGAGGGAGTTGCAGAGAAGGATTCACCAAATCAGCTCCATTACTATTTTGATTGCTTTTGGTGTTGGACAAGAACAAGGTGCACCTTTTCTTATTGCCTGAATTAATTACAAGAAAATGGTCTGAGTCTGATAAGGAGAAACATTTAGTTATTATATTCATGCAAGATCTAAGACATATTTTCTTGTGGTAGAAAAGAAGCAATGTTTTTATACCTGAATTTCTTAAGAAATGTTCACAATTATTTATTTATTTATTTACCAGGCATCTTTCTGTTAGCATAAGACTCCATTTCTACTTTTCTTCATAACTTTCATTTTTCCCCTCCTGCTCTCTGCTGTCTTTGTAGCGAATCCCCAGGTTTTATGGGCAAAAGGCCCTGCTGACCCTTCCTTGGGCCGGGATGGAGCATGGCAAGGAGCGCTGCCTCCAATTGCACCGTTTGAAAGAAAATTCCCGGGGCTTAATTCCCCACTCCTCAAGGTTACTGCAATTACACTTGGAAGGCAATATCCACAAATAGCTCGTGTAGTGGTTAGGAGCAAATGGAGTATGAATATTGCAGGCAGCTCTTTCCTCAGCTGCCATCCTCGGGCTGGGATTTTGGGAAGGAAAGAGGCACTTGGGAAGCTAGCTGAGCTCTCCGCTGTTCCCACCGACCCCGCAATCCCGGCCGTGCTTGCAGACTCGGCGGCACAGCGGTAGCAAACAGCCACCACTGAGGACACAACGGAGCTTTCCCTAGTTTAGCGCAGTCAGCAAAGAAGCCAGTTCGGCTCCACAACGCGCATTTATTGCACGGAGCATTTGGAGAGATGAAGGGAAATGTTGTCTTGCTGAGAGGCTGCCTTGGATGAGCACAAACTCCCTATTTGCTTTTTTTTCCTTTTTTTTTTTTTTTTCCCTCTCAGCTTTCTGCTGGCCAGTAAACTATTTTAATTTAAAAGATGATTTAAAGAGCTGATCTATTTTCCATTCAGGTTCTTTCTGTGGCTCAGCTGCCCTTCTTTTTTTTTCCCCCCATCCACCTAGGATCTTGGCCGCCGCTGTGCAATCACTTCCTTCTCTGCTGCTCTGCAATTACTTCTTGTTACCTGCTGCTTTCCCCATCTTCTCCTACAGTGCCGCCTGCTCCTACCTCTCCCCAAACACCCTTTACTGCCCACGATCCCATTAGTCTCTCCCAAGGTCTTTCCTCTCTACATTATAAAACACTTGTAGGAGTTTGAGTTGTAAATACAGGCACGGGGTGGGTCGCTGCCTGCTGTGGTCAGTGCTGTGCACGGCTTGTTGTCCAACCAAGATGCTGGCAAGAAGCATTCAGAGAGGAGCAGCTGCTGAGCATGAGTCAGGAGGCTAAAGGCTCACGTGGCTGGTGTTTGAGGAAGTGTTTGTCATGAAATAGTAGTTGTTTATTAAATGCCTCGTGTCCACCACAGACAACAAGACAACACCTGGCTGGTGTGTTTGCATTTAGTGATAGATCTGCAGCTTTTTTGGGGAATGGGGAAGGGGATGGGGGTGGTTTTCTCCCTGCCAACTCTCTGGGTTGCTTTCTTTCACCACATTGTAAATTGTTATTAGTCATCTGCATCCACATTAAACTTTAGGTCTTGTGTTTGCCTCTTGTTAGGACTGACAATAAATAATTTATACACATTACTAAGGAAGATGAGAGTCACCCGCTGTGTATGTGACCATGCTAGCATGTGCCTTTTAGAGATCCCCACAAAGAAGTTTCAAGAGACTTAAAATAGTTGTCGGCTGCTCTTTCTACCTCCATGGCAGAAAAATCTTTGGCTGTGGCAGGACTCTGTAGTTGTAGCTGTTGTGCAACAGCCTTCCCATAAAACCAGGCTCAAGGGAGCTGTTGGATGAACCTTGGACGTCAGATGAACGAAGTGGACCGTTTTCCGTTGGTTCATTCTTTGTAGAGATGACAGGTAATGTACAGATGACAGATGTAGAAGGTGACACTTAAAATGTTAAAGACTGTTGGTCTCCAAAACCACCTATTGGTATCCTACTCACTTCAACAGTTGCTGTAGGTCTTGGATCTTATCAGAGCCCGTACTGTATCTATAACTCTAATTTGGACCAAGTTTAGCCAATCTAAAATGTGCCACTGACATGGATAAGAAACAGGAGAAAGCCACCTGGCCACGTGTGTTTGAGATATCTTGACTCCATCCAAATGACCCATCAAAGTGTATAGAGGTTATTTAGACCAGTAGTTTATTTTTTGAGGACTATCACCTCTGATTGTTTCTCTCAGTAATGTTATGTTATAGTACAGCCGTGTCACAATCATGATCTAATTTTTAGTGTAAGCAAAAATGAAGAACAGAGATCTGAAGAAGATAACACTGTCATATTACTTTTTGGCAGTATCATAGCATTCTCTACTGGGATTAAAAAGGCCCAAGTATATTAATTAATGAATAGTAACTAGTCCACAAACACCTTACTGGAAAAAAACAAACTACAAACTGCTTAAAAAATTGAATGCTATTTTCTTAACCTGTCTTGGTTATGAAAATGGGCTGTTTGCACATTTACATAATTTGGGTTTATTTCATTTTTCCTTAGGAAAGGGGATATTCCGTGGAAGCAACAGGAAGCAGTGTGCCATGGGCATGAGCTGCCCCACTGCCCCTGCATCCCAAGAGGAACCCACTGCTGCCTCCATTGGCTCATCCCCAAGGAGAGATCCCTCCAGAGGCACCTCCAGATCCAAAGAGAGCCGACCACCGTGCTTCCCGAGGCCAAAGCTATCCCTCTCTGAGAGCATGTGCAATATAAAAACGCTGTCAAGAATCATCTTGGAAGCAAACATTCCTGGGCAAAATCAGTTCCTGCAAGGTGAGGTGCAAACCCTACTGTGGTTGTCAGGAATATGGTTTCAATAATAGGATGAGATCAGTCCCAGAGAGAAAAAGAAAAAAGTGAAATAATGGAAAGTCTGCTGGTTTGGTCCAGTGTTAAATGCTGAGCATGAGTCATCTGGTAAGAGATCACATCAACTAATCAAATCGTATACGATGCTGTGGTTAATACAAAACAAAATGAAAATGAGAGGCTTATTTTTTATATAAATTCAGAAAAAAAAAGCTTGAAAAAAGTTAAAATTGCAGAGTCAGGCATTCCTGGTCAAAGCAATACCCTAAGTTATTTTTGTATTGTTTCGATACCTTTCTTTTATTTCTTAAGTCATGTGCTTTTGTTTGATTGCTCATCTTCCCACCGCACCCTGAGCTTTAATAAAACAAGGGTTTTAACATGTGATTAATAATGTTTCCATGTATAAAACATACTGTTCTTATAGTTCAGCACCTACACTAACATCTTCCTCCCACATTTTTTCAAGTGGCTGATATGGGGGTGACTGAGCTCACCCACATTCAGCCGGCTGAATTCACTCATAAGGTGACTTTGAAGCTTTTTTTGGTGAAGATAATTACGTATCTACAACATTTCCTAAATCTTCTATAGATTGAATCATTTTTAATATCCATAGCTGTGTGAAAAATTCACTCCAGTAATGCTTTATGAGTGTTATAATAATGCTGTAGGCTTTTTCTTTCTTTAGACAGGTAGATTTTCTGTAGACAGGTAGGGAAAAATCTGTCCTGGTTGAATATTCAGCTACTGAATATAACACCCATGGAGATGAGAAGTCACTTTTTCCTTTCAGTGCCTGGAGCTAAATACATGTCCCACTAACTAATGGTGACTTCATTTTACAAAAGTGAAGCATCCATTGAGATCAACGGCAGATAAAGTTAATTGGCACCTCCAAGAACCAAGCTTATTGAGGAGTTTAGTTTCATGTTCACCGGTTTCATGCTGTATCCAAAATAAAGGATGTTAACAAGAGCACTGCTAGGGAGGAAATGCAGTTCAAGCTTTTATAAGGCAGATGTACCCAAAGCAGATCACTTCAACATTTTTTAAGTACAGCATAATACGTACAATATGTCATAAAGAGGAAAATATTTTTGGTTTATTGTAACCGAAAATTGAAATAAAACAGTAATGGGCTTTATTCCCAGATATTTAGTTCTAGAAATCAAATTATTTGGCAAGAGAGAAGTACCTCAGTGTAACTTTTTCAGAGTAGTGCATATGAGTCTTTTCTGAAATTAATGTGTTATTTTGGACTAATTCTGTACTTTAAATAAGAATCTTGACAGCTCTCTCATTTTGAGCACATACCCGCTTTTGGTCATAATTTGTACAGGAAATATCAGGCTCAGGGCGTGAAAGCATAATTATAAATGAAGAATTTGTTTTTTCTCCTTGGTGCAGAGTTACTGAATTGACAGCTCGCACAGCAATATGCTACGATGCATATTAACCTTTTGTTTATCATTTTCTTCATTGAGCCATTCCACTGAAAGGCTAACGAATGTATAGAAATGATACAAAGCAAAAGGGATCATTAGCAGAGGGAAAACACGAGCAGGGTTTATTAAAGCTTCTGTGTGGTCAGAGAGAAATGATGTGCAATTACGTTCCATGGAAATACGTTATTTTCTATAATAAGAGCAATGAATTGAAATGATCTCAAACTGTGAGTTGCAGCGTGGTATCCTCTGCTGTACATAATGTAAATGCATTGCCGAGGAACCCTGGTTTTTGGGAGTAAATACCTCCAAAAGGAGCTCAGAGCCTTAATTGTGCTCCGTCACGATGCCTTGCTTAATGTGAGAGACAGTCCTTGTGTCACAGGGCAGCACCGAGCACCAAGGATTAGATTTGATCTACCCTGCTTAATGAGGCCTATTAATAACACCCTGGCCTTCTTATTTCCGAAATTGCCCTCCCCGCCTAATGAGGTGGAGAACCCAATAAAAAATTAGCCATGCACTCTTAATGAACTTCTAAATCTCTCTCAGGTGATTGCAGATCGTGCGGCTCGAGGGGCAGCGGGACGGAGGCCGAGGCCAGGGCCGAGCGGCCGCCAGCCCGCGGGGCAGCTCTCCCCGCCGCTCTCCCGCCACATGTTGCTCGTGAGAACATCGCGGCGCCTCCCTGGCCAGGGAGCTGCTTGGAGCCTGAGAAAATTCCAGCGAGCCCCCTGACTCTGAGGGTAAATCTCCATTTGTTTTTATTGTTGTTGTTAATTTGGGGGCTGATTTTTCATGGATGGTCGCGGCTTCCTGGGGACTGGCTAGGGGCAGAAGTTCACAGTTCCTTGGGTTTTCCTCCTTCTCGGGGGAGTTTTGTCCGCTTGTTCTCACTGCTGAGACTTCCTTGAGGGTTGGAGATGTGCAATGGGTGCCGCAGCTGTCATTCCTGTGGAGGAACGTGGTGGACATCTGGGATCTACAAGGATGTCTCCCACACACCTCAAGTAGGAGTGCAACCCTCCACGTCCACACCAAGCTCTAGCAGGAGACAGATCCCATCTCCTGCCACCAGACATTCCCACATGTGGAACCAGCCTGTGACTGGAGAGCGTTTTCCTCACGGATCATCCCTGACTAGATCCGCCCGATAATCAGCATAAACAAGAGAGTTTGTGAACTGTTAGTGACAAGCTGCTCTGGCCATGGGGTGAGACAAAGAAATAGGCAAGATGTCAAGAACTCGAATTTGGATAACGCAGAAAAATGTGTAACTCAAAACTTTTTGGATATGTTTTCTCACAGTTTTTTAGAAATGAGTCTCCTTTGCCTGGTCTGGAAATGTTTATGCCCAGACAGCTTTCTAAAATTAAAAGGAAGCGAGGCCAAATAGGAAGGCAGCTGGTTGATTTTCTCACGGAGAAGCCCCGATTTTCATCGATGATCTCCTGCTGAACCTGCAATACCTCGAGGTGTGAGGAGGTGGCATTTCCTCCTTTTAATATAAAGCCCTCTCCCCCATTTCGTTTAGGAAGCGCTAGAAATCCACAAGCCTCGGTTCCTCTCGCGCTCGCGGGCACGGCTGCAGAGGCTGGAGCACAAGGTGCAGCTGCGCAAGGCCCAGCAGAGCGATGCTCCGGCAAGGACACGGGCCGCACTGCTGCTTCACAAGCTCTCCTCAACCTCCTTTTCGGGCAAGAAAAGGCAATATACCATTCCTCACCCACTCAGTGGTAAGTGCAGGTGTCGCAAGTGATGGTTCTGCAACTGGCCTTGAAAGCTTGCCATGAATGCCCTATTTCCGTGCTAATTTTGGGGGGAAAACATGTGCCTTGAGGTGTCTCTTCTACCAGCATGCCAGCATCTGCCTTGGTGCTCTAAGCAGTCACCAAAGCAAAGAGATGTCACTGATTGGAGGCTTGGAGACTCTGGAAAGGTAAATAGTTTCTATTTTAAAGTAAAAACTGGGAATGTTAGGTAATTTTCAAGACTGCATCAGCTTCATCTGCTCCCAGTCCTTCCAAAATGCTGCTGGCGTTGCTGACACATTTTGTGCTGTTATGTTGGAGAATACCAACCTCAGCTGCCAAATACATGCAGTTTCTGGTGGGTTTGTGCCATTTCCCTCGTCTCAGATATGCAACAAGTCTTACCGTGAGAGCTAAACAAGCACAAGCAAACGAATGCACAAAACATGACGTAATTTTAAAGAGGTAATAAAATAAAAGCAGCAGCTCGGCTAAGCAGGTTAATTTAGCTGGGGCCAGACTGCTGGGGCCGGGCTGCCCGGGGCAGTAGGTGCTAGTTTGGTTCCCATAACTCATCTAAACATCCCTAAACGTGGCCATGTGCCATTTTCTATTTGTAAGATCCTAACATTTTTATCAACGCTGCGGGACCTGCGTTGTCCTTCTCCATTTTGTTCACTGTTGTGCTGCCTTTTCACTTGCACTCTCTTAAACCAGCGTGTTGCATGCACCGCTCAGGACCTGGAGCTTTTTTGTTTCCATGTCAGTCAGAAAAAAAGGACCCTTGGAGGTCTCTGCCAAAGATCAGACCATTGGACTACAGAGTGTTTATTGATACTACTATGAAATCACTAGATCACACCATTTCAAAATGTTTTGTCAGTGTTGTCGCAACCTTACAGCTACTCATACAAAGAGGAAATAATTGGCATCTCCAGCATTTGCATATAAATACCAACATCTGCGCGGCTTCCGTTTACCTTCCCAATTTCCAGGGGAAAAAAAAAGTTGTTTACCACTTTTAATCCTAATTCGTGAACAGGATTTCAGAAAAAGCGGAAAGTAATGGTCAAAAAATGAGCATGTTTATCCGGCAGCAGATTTTATCATCACAAGAGCATTTGGAGGCAAACAGCCTCCACGGCTCGCGCTGGCCTCGGTGCGTGCGGCGCGCGCCGCTCCGTTCTGGAGTGCTAATTAGTCCAAGATAGACTGCTCTGCTGTTGACTGTGTCGAGCAAATTAGAGATCCCACTGTGACGAACTGAATAGAAACAATGTTCAAATAACTGGATTTAAATCTCGAAAACCGTAATGTAATTACTTCAGTGACAGGACTACCAGCTGTTTATAGGCCTTTAAATCCTCATAATGAACAGCCTTGTGATCTTAGTGTATACAGGCACTTCCCGAGGTTTAAAAAAAATTCCTTTTTTTTTGGTTTTAATGCCCTCCATCTCCCTCTCCTTGGAGGGCAGAGGTGTTTCCCTGCCAATGGCAACACAAGGAATCAAGGGTACCGGCCAACCCCTACGTAGCTGACTACTAAGTTCCTCAGGTTTGGTCAGCAGCATCCCAAATCCTGTATCCTTAATATTGTGGAAACCAGCGCGTGTCTCCTCCTCCACGCTCCTAAACCTTTCCCAAGAGCTGCCCAAGCCTGGAGGGCAAAGGGTGCTGTTCCTTTATTTGCACGTGTGAAGATGTGGTTCCCGGAGCAGCCCCACACTAGCTGGGTTGTTATTCAGAGTATTCGGATTGTAGATTTAATTAAACATTTAATTTAATACCAGCAGGGAGGGTATTTGCAGTGGAGCCATTTCTGAGCAAAAGGGTGCTGTTTCTGTGCATATTCTGGGTCTTGGGCCCTTGCAGCCCCCTGCCCATCTCTGCCTGTGCCACCCACGGCCGTACCGCTTCCCAGATCAACATTCCCAGTCAATATCCGCCGCTAGGGATAGCGCCGCGGGTCCCGCTGGCACTCGGCCACGTGCTCCAGGCTGACAGCTACGAATACAGATGAAGTCGCAGTCAGGTAATTGAATTAGGAAGTGGCGTGACCTCTTTTTATGCTATTATTAGTAATCACGGTGATGCAGGTAGCAGCGGGCTCAGCTGAGCGCGGCCCCACGGCGCGCACGACGCTCTCTCAGCAGCCCATGGACTAACTAGCTCCAGTGGGAGCAGAGGTGGTGCCTGCTGCACAAGGAATGAGTCCGTCAATGGGAAAACTGGGAATAAGGATTTTTTCTGGGATGCTGAGGGCAGCGTTGAAGCCACCTGCTATGTAAAGGGTGGCTCAGGAAGCTCCAGCAATTTGTTTATAGAGAGGAAAATGAAGGGGCAGTTTCATTTCAGGGCTATATGCTGCAATCAAACAATAATGATTCAGGGTGGCCCCATGAGATATTAGTCTGTTTTTCTTCTGGATAAAGTCCATGAATGGCAAGGTCTCATTTGGACAGTGGGGACTGAAGTCACCCATGCCATGCCAAGACTGAATTTGACATGGAAAAGGTTTTCTAGACTTGTAAGTTTTAAAGATTTTAGGCAATACCTGATGCTCTCTCTGAAGACCCAAGTTTACAATTCCTACCAAGCTGCCCAGGGTGAGGGCAGCCATTTGGTCCAAATTCATTATCATTTTCAGTGTTATCACGGTCATAACTTTATAGTTGTGTGTTACTTTCAGAGAAAACTCTGAGGGAAGGGAAAGGAAGACTTTGAGAACAGGCACTGAGCTCTTCCAGTGCTGTCCCGGTTCAAAGAACTATAGACAGGGAAACATGGAGCAGCCCATTGGTGTTTTATTTAAAACTTGACAAACTTAGGCCACTCTGGGACATGGGGCTTCTGATCCTGCAGGTCCTGCAGGTGTTTGGACAGCAGTAGCATCCGAGCACTTGCTCCTTTTAAGTTAACGAACATGCAAATGAATGTAAAAACACTAATAAATAAAAGGCAAATTATATTTTCCTAGCAAATTGAGCATGCTGCTTGTGTGCACTGGAGATTTCACAGGGATGATTAAGCACAGATAAATGCTCAGTGGAGAAAAGTTGCTCCACAAGCAGAGAAAGGTTCCCCTCTCCCCACCAGCTTCATTTTTATTTTACAAAAGGCACCAGAAAAGCAGCTTTGCTCCCTTGGCTTCCTGCGCAGGGATATGGGAGGGATGTGCAGAGCTGGACGGCTCCTCCATAGGGAAGCAGCATGGGAGTCCAGCTTCATCCCGGGAAGCCGGGGAGGCTGTTGGTTGCTAGGACAACTCCCATAAATATCCCTGAAACATCCGTGTCCCGAGCGGCGGGGAAGCAAACCCGTGGGGAAGATCTCTTTTGGAGCAGAGGTCGCCGGATCCGCTCCGGGTTAACGCCTGGAAGGAGAGCCCTGGAAGGAATTATTATCTGCACTTAGTCCTCTGCCTTGAATATTGTATTTTTCTCCTCTGTGAGGTGGCTGTGGTGCCTGTTGTGAGGAGCTACATCTCGTAAAGCTCCTAAGTGAGGAGAGACGGAGCTTGGCTTGAATAAAGCCTGTGACACTGACACAAGTTTTATGCATGTAAAATAAATGAAGCATGGGATGGAGCCCGTCTCACTGCCCTTCCAACTCCAAAGGGCAGCTTTGGTACCATTCCAGTGCCAGGTGAGGTCATCGGATGCCTTCTCCACTGACCTGCAGGCACCTGGATCCATCATTAAACCACTAAAAATTTAGATGGAAATATCACATCATAACCAAAGGGAACAGGGCAAAGAGAATTCCCATAAATGCAGATTCCTCCGATATTAACTGTGTTTTCCCCTTGCTAGATAACCTCTTCAAACCAAAGGAAAGATTCATTCCAGAGAAAGAGATGCATATGAGATCTAAAAGGTACAGACCCCCGCGGCTGGGCTCCTGTGCTTCCCCGCCATCCCTCGCGCATCCCATCCCGTCCTTTCCGGGCCCTTTTCCCAGGCTTTGCTCGGGTTGCGTGGTCCCTGCGCTGGGTCGACTAGCCTGCAAAATATCTTGCTGAATTCTGTGTTTTCATATCTATTTATGAGGATAATCTCATTGACATGTGTGCTCAACACTCTCAAGTATTGCTACTCCCTGATTTGTAATTAGAGATTAATACAGATTTGTGAGGCATAAATTCACGGATTGCAGCCTATCCTGTACGGAATAACTAGAAAGGCCACACTCCTTGTGTTGTCAGATATTATTCAAGAGTTTCCAGGTGCTTGCTCTTAGTTTTCTGACACTATTGCATCTATTTTAAACAGATCATCTACAGATGATCTACACCTTTTTTTGCCCAAAATACCATCTCCTGCCTGAGTGTGAGCCAAAATAGGCTCGTTTGAGAACTAGATATTGCAAAATGATAAAGGAAAAATCAAAACAAGCAAACATGGGTCTCTGGGTGTTGTACGTGTGTCCTGAGAACAGGCCTGCAGGAGAGGGAAGGTGCCACTGTCTCTTTGAAGCATTGGGAATTTTGTCGATGATTTCAATGGAAGAAGATCAGACCAAGCATCATCTTTGCGAAGGCAAAGGATGTGATCTTTATATTCAGAGATTAAGTTCTTTTTGATGAAAAAAAATTCTAATGACACTGGGAAAATGTTCCTGCTGTACAGTCTTATAAAGTTGGTTTTGTTATAATTTGTAAAAACATCTGAAAATGATAGCTCGGTATTAATTTTGTAATTGCAGAAAGGGGTGCAGGCCAGATTCTGGTTTCTGTGATGTTGCTATAAATTGAAGCTAACTCCACCAGCTCATTCAAAGCTCCTCCAAAATTATGTAACCTGATCCACTCTCTTTCCTTACCTTTGAATTAATCCAAAAATTGATGTTAATCCAGTTAATCCAAAATTATCTACAAATCAGATTTTTTGTAATAAAATTGTTAATAATCTGTGAATAAGATTTATGGAATGAGAGTTAAATATTTACAGATGCCCATTAATATGATTAAAGGTATATATTTCCTACAAAAAAAAGTTATTTGTGAGTCCCAGTTGTGATGTGTGAAGATAACTTTCTAAATTGCTCCCAGGATTTATGATAATTTACCCGAAGTAAAAAAGAAGCAAGAAGAGAAGCAGAAACGGGTAATCCTCCAGAGTAACAGACTGCGTGTTGAGCTCTTTAAAAAGGTAATGGTTGCTTGTGAATGCAAGTAATATATTTTTTCAATCCTTCTTTACTACCTTAAAATATGACTGTCCCACCATCAGTCTCTGTGAGATAGGGCAGAAACCACTGAGCAGGGTAAGATGGAAGAAGTTCAGGCATGGGGACATGGGGACATGGGGACATGGGGACTTGGGGACATGGGGACAAGGGGACTTGGGGACATGGGACAAGTGATGTTCTCCAGATCTGCAGCAGAGCAGCAGAAGTCCTCCTAGAAGAAGGAACTTGGCGAAGGTCGAGTGAATGGAGGTTTGAGACTGCTGAGACCATATGTCCTTCGCTGTCACTGAAGCTGTCCACAGATTTATTCACCCGGTGTATTTTAAATGCCTTAAGGGTTTTCATATTGTTTTTTTCTTTTCCTAGCAATTACTGGACCAGCTCCTTCAAAGAAACACAGAGTGAGAAAGGATTCTCTTGCTGACAATACTAATTGGATCTCAGATGCCTTTGACTCTTAGATAAGCCATAAAATGTACTGTTATCTTAATTACTGGGAGGTATTTCTCTTATCTTTGCCGCTTTATGTAAAGAAAGACCATTTGTATTTCTGTTGAAATTTAAAAGTAACTTTCAAGTAATCAAAAACAGTCTGAAAGGCAACACAGCTGTTTCAGAGCATCAACTCACGGTCAGTTTACCCAGAGGAAATAATTTTAAGAATTTTTAATGCAAATACTGAATTACAGCGGTATTATTTATTTTATTTTATTTCATTCTAAGTATACATCTCTGTAGCAATAGAACCGGCTTTATAAAATCTGGGAAATTTATTTCTCCAAAGTATTCTATTAATTGATTTCCTGTGAGTTAAATCCTTGAACTAAAGAAAAATGAACATCATTATTTGTTATGTTTAGAAACTAGCTGAAATAGCATTACCACATAATCATGGCAGCAGCAGTTTCACATTAATACTTAACATACCAAAAGGGACCAGTATTTTAGCTCTCTGAAGAACTCTATTTGTGTTTATATAGTGATTCTGTACCATAAGTTTACCTGTTAAACAGCAATATTTAAAAATATGGCTATAACATTTTTTTCATGTGTTTGTCATTGCAATATGTCTTTTACTCAGTTTCTGTGATCATTAAGTATTTATAGGAATGGCTTATTAAGACGTGGTGCCAAGAAGTATGTTTGTATCAAAACTGCACAACTAAAACCATCTGTAATGTTTCCTCCAAAAATATTTAAATTTTTATTTGTACATTTTGGAAGTAAAAACAACCAGCTTACAAACCAACAGAATTTATTTATGGAATTAAATATTGATCCAACTGCTACATTTTTATTTGATACTGTTAAATGCAACACAGTTATTTAAATCATGGGAGAAGTCTCGTTCCTTTGTTGCATAAATAGAACCCTCCCTTTGCCACAAATACTATGGCAGAAAATACTGCCCATGAAAATCACTGCTGTTGTGAACCTCTGTGCCAGGAACATTTGGTTTGAGTCTGTTTGAATGACACTGGTTTGGAGTTTGCCCTTTGATACCCATGCTTTATTTTTCTAATCTGAGATGTGAGGCTGGGGTTTCGGGAGGTCATGTCTGTGACCTGCACTGGACACGAGGAGCCTGGCTCCGTTTAGATTATTTAATGTCTTTGTTTCTCTTAAATTATTTAATGTCTTTGTGTTTCAGCTTCCCAGTTTGGAAAATGGGATTAATGACGTTAATACTTTCTTGCAGAGGAGATAGGGATTTGCTGAACCAGCACATTGAACGCTAGGTAAAGATATACAACCACTCAGCAATTGCTTCAATAGCTTTCAAGAGGATGATGTACAAGGGAAGGTGCCAGGGGTCTTTCCCCCAAAATACTCTTTTTAGCTGAGCAGCTAACGCTGCACAGGGCACACGGGTGAGGGCTGGACCTCAGGTGGCTCCAGGCAGAAATGCTTCTGGAAGGGACTGCAACGTCTCCCAGCTTCCCAGAGCAGCTGCTTGCTCAGTCTGCTCTTTTTCAGGTTCACTGATCTCTCTTGCTGCTCTCCACATCTGGCCTGCTTCAAACGGGAGGTCTTGCTCTCTAGGGTGGGCTTCTCCACCCCGCTACGGAGCGATAGATTTTAGCAGAAAACACCCACATACGTGATGTCCTAGAGAGAGCCTGAAGGATTAACTTTCTCCCAGCTACAGCTCCCTGTAACTAAAGGGGCCCAAACTGGGGAGCGAGAGCAAGAGGGTGGAGGGCACAGCCTTGGTGTGACACCACTTGGCTCATTTGCTGCCATCTGGGCAGGCTCCTTCTCCACCAGATGTTGGTTTCCTCCAGCTTCTGCTGTTGGTGACCACCAGCAAGGCCACCAGCCTTGACACATCCTGGCTTCACCTGCCCCATGAACAACTCCATCCTTGGACATACTTACAACAGGTGAACTATTCACCCAATCGTTTCGCTCAGTAAAAGTTGTATTTCCAAGTGCTTTTATGTTCTCTAAATGTGGCTTTTCTAAGCCTGAAGGACAAATACAATTTTAAGTGAAAATCATCTCATGAAAAGAAGCTTGGGAGCATGTGAGCAAAATGCCTAACGCAAATCACTGTCTGGGAATGTTTTACATGATATGAGACCTTTGCTTTAAGAAAACAAAAATGTTCTCTGTTGCAAACCTAATTTGTCTTTCTGGGCCTCTGAAAAGAGGATCTCTGGTAATGTATCCAGCAAACAATTTCAACATTCATTTCAGTGCTACAATCAAGTCATTGTAATAGCAAATACAAGTCATTGTAATAGCAAATAGATGGTACAGGAAAACATTGCTGTAGAAAAGCACAGGTTTAGTCCTTTCTGGATGGGTATCAACTTAGCAAAGCTTAGAATTAGGAACAAAATTGGCCTAATCTCACTTTGAATGTGCACCCATTTGAAAGTAAAGGGTACCTTTGCTATTAGATAGTCTTTTTCACGGAAAACTCTCTGGCTTAATCTGAAATCCTTCCTAGTTGTTTAATACTGGAACTTTTCCCCTCTGGACCCTGTTCGGACGGTGCTTTGCTGCCAGCAGGCCCATGCCCCAGCTCTGCAGCAGCGATGGAGTTTACTCTGATATAACTACGCAGGGATTAATGGTTGTCCCCCAGCTTCGAAGATCGGTTGTCTCTTTTCTCAGTGACAGAATGCCCGCAGAGAAACCTCTAATCATCGAGTGCCATTCTGTGCTCAGCAGCCTAATGAACTGGAAATGTTTTTGGAGGTTGTGATTTTCTCTCTAGCAGTGTCTGCTTAACTCTGCCAAAACCATTGAAATGAGTTTGCCACGTGAAAACACTTGTTCTCTGTTCAGAATAAAACACATCCTATCTTTACATCAAGCATCTTACTTTTCCTCGTTCTCCTTGGCTCTTTACCAAAGCTGTAGGAGGTAGAATTACTTAATATCCATTTTAGATGACCCACAGAATGAGATAATGAGGTGTATCATCTGCCTCGCAGCTGCAGAATGATAAAAAAAAAGAAGAGGGAAATGTATAAACGTGCTCACAGTACACACAATTAGATAAAATTAGTAAATAGGAAAAGTAGAATAAACTCCTTAAGGGTCCTTGCGTATAGACAGGAATATAAAAAAGAAGCTCTAATTGCAGAGATTTTTTTAGAAACCGGTCACAGTGAAGTATTCTTAGACTTTTCATGCTTTACATGCTTTCATCTTCACCAGGATCTTACAAGGACTTTGTGTTCACTAGAATAAGAGAGGCTTTGTGCCCCCTCGCAGGCTGATGAGGGCAATGTAAGTAAAGCTGGTGACAGAAGGGTGGTCGCTGGCTGGTGCCCAGCCTGGGTTTGCAGATGACCTGATGGTGACAGTGCCTGCAAGAAAGGTCTCCCAGCAATTGTTCTGCTGAATTGTAATACATAAATTTGGCCAGGCAGTTAGAAATAAATTTAAAAAAAGCGCTCAAAATGGAAAGCCAAGAGGTCTGGCTTCGCTGTTACTATGTACTCTTAAATTGTGTCACCTCCAAGCCGCCTGGGGACAACCCGCCCAGGGCTGTGCCCTTAATGGCAGTAAAACAGGATGTTTAAAACACCTCCAGCGTGGCCTTCAACAGCGTTTCAGTGATGGCAGTGAAAGGGAACTACCAGGGTATCCCATGCTGCCGATTTATAGGGAAATAAACCCCTACTTAAATATTATATCCACATTAGTTCTTTGTGACTAATGTTATTACAATGAATACCAGAGGAATTAGTAATGATTACCCACTTACTGTAAAGTGTCGCCAAATATATACTTAACTTGTAATGCTACTGAGAGCATATATATAATTTTTGTGTTTGTTATTATGTAAAAATATAACTCTGAGGGCTGGCTGGTCTAAATCTAATTATATAATGGCATAAGTTAAACTGCATGAAAGATACATAATTATGGGTTAGCTGCTCTATCTAATACTATCAGCTGATGTTGCAAAGCCAACATTTTGCTTCCATTTGCTTTAGTCTTGTGAGATTCCCCTTGCTGTGTCTGCGACCCAGAGCAGATCAAAGGTTTGCACCAGAAGCCAGCGATCAGAAAAAGCCCTTAAGAAAAGCAGCTCCCATTCACGCTTCTTTCCACAGCTGATGTGGGCCTGAGGCCTAATTGATTTAATTCTCCCCTGATACGTACCATGGGATGAGTGATTTCTTTTGAGCTCCCCACTGAGAATATTTTTTCTCTAAAAACGGCCAGAAATATGCTGTCTATCTAATTGCACGCCCCATGCTCCTGATGATGCACACAGCGGTGTTTGGTGGTTGCAGAGGGCCAGACAGGCACCACAAAAATATATGGCTGCATAATACTTGGTCTCCACTGAATATCATCTTCTTGGGAGACATAAAAAATGGTCTGCTTTTTCCTTTGTTTTCAAGGAGACGAGGAAATTTGTAATAACAGGTCAACATGCCTATTCTTAGAGTCTGGCTTGAAGAGAGAAGAACATCTTTAATGAAGTATCAGTTATATTTAAAGAGCTCTTAGTAAGGGAAACTTTGCTGCTGTGCATTCACAATCGCCTTGTCTGATACGAGGCTCCTGCTGGAGAATTATCACTTCTCTGAACGACCACAGAGGTGGGCAGGAAAATGTACACATGAGGCTGGAAGCACAGGGAGCTATTCAGGTGGGCGCTGGGTGCTGCTGCTTTGCAGAGAGAGGCTCAACGGTGGCCAGAACACAGGTGTGAATTGCTCTTGTTTGGGCATTTCCTTTTTTCTGATTCCGCAGCAGGCTGATGCATTGAGAGTGCAGAATAACTTTTTTAATATATATACTTTGGATATTTCAATAAGGAATTGAATTTAGTGCTATGATCCTGATAACGCAGAGAGGTAACACCATGAAGTGGTGACATGATGTCTCAGCAGCTGGCGAGGGACACACGGCCTTTTGTAGTGAAAAACAGTTGTTTTTGCTTGGTTTTCTCTAAGGAGCAAAGACGCCAGCCTGGAGGCCCCGAAACTGTAGATCCCTGAAGCTAAACCCTGACAAATCCTTGTGCATTCTGGCACATATGGAAATAAAAGGGCCTGGATTTTGGGATATAACAGATATTGTGATTAGAGGGGGTGGTTCTGGATATACAAAGGTGACCATGGCTGATCCAGCCATGAGCTGCTCAGCACAAGGTGCTGTTGTGGGGTACCCTACACCAGCAGCATAGCTCAGTGCACGTCTCAGGGAAAAACTACCAGTGGGATGAAGCAGGGAATCCGTAAGCACGTGGAGATGCTAGGGAAGATAAGGAGATCAAAAAATGAAAGAAAAAGCACAGAGAATCACTAACAAAAGATAAGAAGGTAGGGAAAGCACAGATGCAGCAAGAGATCCCTCCACACAGCCCTTCCTTGGCAGGACGAGAGAAGAAAGCTGGAAATGGGGAATGGAAAGCTAGTGGCCCGCAAGGAATAACCTGGCGGACGAGGGCTGTGGGGGCCTTTGAAGCAGCCCCACAACCTGGATGCAATTTTCATTTCCTGCAGGGGCACCTCGGCCTCGGGCCTCTGAAGCGGAGCAACCACGTCTCATAAAACTAATTGCGGGAGGGGGGTTGACAGGAGAAATTAGAAGGCCGGGGCTGGCCTCTCTCGGGCAGCGGAGCGGGGCTACTTCAGGATGATTTTGTTTGTTCCTGTTGTTTTTTTTCCCCTAAAAAGACAGTTATGAAACTGCTGGGAAAATTTACTGTTGCTCTCCATGGCCAGCAGTAACTGTAATTCAGTGGCACTCCCTGACAGATGTCATTAATGAAGTATTTGGGGTTCTTTAGTGATAAAACACTAGTTTATCAACTTAAGGCCCATAAAACAAATGTGGTACAATGCAAAGGTCTTCAGGTTTTCTTATTTGTATGTCTGAGGAGAGCAGGAAGAACTGTGATAATATCTAGTTCACTGATGTTAGCCAATGACGAAAACATAATTGTCTCCATATTCCCTGTTAGTGAATATTTCATCTCAAAACACTGCTATTTAG